AAGCATATTCCTTAGGAGATAAGGATTACAACAATAAAGGGGATGATTATCCTAATCCTATAATGATTAGGATAACTACAACATATGGATAAACACAAGGGAGGATAGTGACTGATACTTGGCCGCCTGGTATGGTACTGATGTGGTCTGGTCCATTTCCGGATATGTCCCAACCACCATCTTCATTTCTTAACAAAAAGAAGACTTCTTTTTCTCGTTATCTCTTTCCTCTACGGGAGATTCTGCTTTTCGCAACGTGGAGACAAAAAGAAGAACGCAGTCCACACACACACTGTAAAGAAGAACAAACTCAGAGAGGCGAACGAAACCTTTTTTCATTGGAAATTGTCAGGGCGAGAGAATCGAATCGAATCCTCCGTAGTTTGGATCGATCATGCCTCCCGGTGCGAAGAAGAGAAAAGCGTTGAAGAAGAAGCAGCAACAACAGGAAGCGATTGGAACAAGTACGAACACTAAGGGCGATAATCTCAACGGTATATTTCTTCCTCTCCCCCGCTCGGTTGTTTTTTAAGATTCGGGGGCTTCGTTCCTTGTTAGGTCGATAGATTTTTCTAGAATCGTGTTGAAGCCTTAGTTTACGATAGCCTCAGCAAGTTCATCCGTATCTGTCTTTTGAGCTAAAGATCTTTCGCTGAATTGGCGAAAGAATGCTAAGTTCATGAACTTGAGCTCAAAATTTGTTGGACTGGTGAAGAAGAACACATCGTCCACGAATTGAACAGCATTCATAACAAGTCCTTATCGTTCTTTCTCATTTTCCAGTAGTTTAATAGAAGAGAAAGTATTATTTGTGTTCTCGGTAGTTTTTGTTTGATCTTTGAATTAATTTAACAAATATATATATATATATATATATATATATATATATATATATATATATATATATCAGGAAATGACGAACATGGAAGCCAAGATGATAGGGAAAGTGATAGCACTTTGAGCTCCCCTGGTTCCCAAGGGAATGATGAATTTGGTGTGACATCTGCTGCTATATTATCCGTTTTGGTGGTGAAGGACACTGCTAAAGAGATACCTCAAGGATTAGGATCCAAAAGTGTCAACACTCTTCTGGAGAAATCTCCCATTTCCTCTACTGATAACACTACTCAGATTGCTAAATACATAGCTCCTCACGATCCTTGTGTTAAGGAGATCGCTCCTGTTGTCGATTCTGTTTCTAATGTAGTGGTTTCTGAAAAGAGTGAGCATGCCGAGACCTCAACACACTCAGATTTGGTCAAGCACAAGTCTGCGAAACTGGAAAAAGATAATGGTATGGTGGCTACTCTTCCAGCTTCTGCTGATGAAGTTACCCAAAAAGTGGAGAGTGTAAGAGAATCTGAAGCTCCAGTATCCTCTGAGGAAAAGGTAGAGGTAGCATCTTCTTCAATTCTACCATTGTGAAATTCCTCTATTTTCAGTTGTGACTGAGTCTCCTGTGACGTTTGCAGCGTCTTTCGTTGCCTGGTCCACAAGCCGTCCGAACTTCGTGGTTAAGTTGCTGCGGTTTGTTTGATGCTGTGACAGGATCTGACAGATGAACACAGGTTAGTCTTGGTTTATGATTCTTGATAACATGTACTTTACTTGGTTGACCTTCCTAATTACTACGACCTGCAATGTGTCCTGTATTTGTGATGATGTCCTTAATATTTCACTTAAACTACTTCATTTTATCTGCTAACTTCTAGGTGGTCTAGTATTTGTGATGATGTCCTTAATATTTCACTTAAACTATATCATTGTTGTTCTTGTTACTTTATATCTTTTACTGAAATTGTGTAGAACTAATGTCAAATGCTAAGCTAACCTAAAACGCACAACTCATGCTTGGTCAAGCTAACACCAAGAAATCTACATCTAGATTATAGTCTGGCAGGATTCTGAAGTTCATATGCCAATGCAATTCTTGATAGCTATTAGCTATTTTAATGTTGTTTGTTTGGATTGTCACCAAATCTTGTAAAAATAGCAGTTAGCGTAAACTCATCTCCTACATTTTTCTACCAGTAAAGGATCAGATTCTTGTAGTTTCTCTCCACTTTCCCTCAGAGATCAAATCCTTTTCTTGTTCTTTGTGTGTATCTTTAACAACACTGTCTATTATGCTATAACCTGTGTCATAAACATGTATTCTTTGCAGTGTCCTAAGGGAGAGCAGGAGTTTATAAAGCTGGACGCTCATGACAGCCAAAACTCAAAGGCAACCGGAAAAGAAAAAAAAAACAAACAGAATTTACGGGTCCGTACACTCTTCTTTGTACATTATCTTTGATAGATAATAATGTGGGCGGCTTTTAGCAACATAAGTTTCATTTTACATTTCTTTTTTTCAAATACAGTCTTCATTTGTCCATTAAATGGATTTTAGATTTATGAGACTAAATATAGCTCTATTGTTTTCATTACCAAAATTACCATTTATCTTCTCTGTGTAGCTCATTAGATACATGTAGAAACGTGATCCATTTCAAGCCTCAACGTTTGATTTTATTCCATGAACACAAAGTGACACACACAAAACAAGATCTGATCCATTTTGTACACAAAGAATGCATGAATTTAACTTAAGCTTTGCTTCAACTTCCTATGAAAATAAAAAGCACACAAACACTCCCACACTTCAGTCGATTGACTAGTAGAAAGAACCCGAAAGGTCATAATTTCTTAAGTAGGTCTCTTCACGCCGTGAACAGCAGCAATGTAAAGAAGCTGTGTGACTGAGAGTATGATCAAGAACGCCTCCATGGTTCTCTACAAAGAAAAGGAGAGGAACATGAAGCCAATAAAATTGTGCGTTTTCCAAAATTGAATCTAAAATAAAATTTGGAGTTAGAGAAGACTCTCACCAGTCTTGCATTTCGCCCTTGAAGCTCGATTTCTTTCCAGGCGAAGCTGTTGATAAGTAATGATTAGTCACCGATGCCTCAAAACATGATGTGTTTACATGTGAAGCGAGAGAGGTTAATATATTATATATTTACCCCATGGCAAGGACTGTTAGGGTCCATGCGATAGTTGCAGCTGCGGCTGCAGCCGGCAAGCTTCCCACTGTCCAGGACCGAATGTGGCTAAGGCCAGAGATTGTGGAAGCCGCACCAACTACTCCCGCAAGCAACGCGAATGTCACGAAGAATCCTGTGGCTGCGTTTCCCATCGGAAAGTAAATTGGGGAGAAATGTGCTGGCAGCTTGAGATCAGGGCCTGCTCAAATTTGTTTCCACAAGAACCCCAAAATGTTTCAAGTTAAAAGAACAACAAAAAGAAATTACTTATATGCCAAAAGCAAACAAATTTGAGAAACGTTACTCTTAATTTTTACAGTGTTCTTACCGATTTCGAATCCATGATCGATGGCTCGGTTCATGGCCCATCCTCCAATCCCTAGAACAATTACATACATGCAGAAGTTGAGCACCAGAAGTAGAGAAGCAACAGATTTCATTTGCTCACCCGCCATTTACCCCTTTTGAAAAAAAGGTAACTACAAAAGTGGAAGAAAAGAGACGAGAAGAGAAGAAACAAGAACGAGGAAAATTAGATTTGTTCTTGTGTGGAACAAGACATAACGAAGCTACTTTATATACTAACTTGCATTGTTCTTTTCTTGATAGGGATGCTGGTAATAGAAGAAAGGTTTACTCGATAGTTGGAAAGTTGATAACTTGAAGTTCAAGGCAAATCTTATAATAACCCAAAGATTCTTGGCTTTGCTCTTTGTACATGTAGAAAGTGTATGTCCAATTTTTTAGAGTTTCAGATGTTCTTACAGAAGACAAAAGGTAGATTCATTGGCAGTTTAATGTCTCCTTACTATTTGCTTTTTATCTAATTGAGATTTGGTACTTATTCTTAAGCAATTCTCCATGATTTTGTAATATCCAAACAGCATTAGTATTTATTCCTTGTTTTTTTTTTTGTTTACAAGGGAAACCCCAAACTTTTAGATGGGCAAGTAAAAAACATTTCTGAGCAAATTAAATTTAGGTAGATTTTAGTAGAGAAGGGTATAGTAGTTTGGTGTTGTATTAAGGGCTGACTGGTTCTCCCGCCATCACCCGCAAATACAGCTTTTGCGGTTGGTAGCGGTTGTTGGCGTTTTGCAACAATCACAGAAAACGCTATAATTGCTTCAAGTCGCTCTGAATCTCTAAAATTCAACAGCTGGTTCTAGCTAGCGTTTGCGGTTGCGGAAGATTGCGGGAGGATAAAAAATATTTTTTTTCCAAAAAACTATATAAATATAAAAATAAAATATTCAGTTAAATTTTTAAATTAAAATAATTGAAATACTGAAATATTTATATTATAAAATTTCTAAAAAAAATATTTTCTTTAATTTTTTAAAAATTTAATAATGCAGTCTTTTCAATAAAATTTTATATTTATCATGAAAATATGATTTTAATATTTTGATAATTATATAAAATATAAATATAGTTAATTTATTACTTAACCGCCGTTGTATTTGATGATAAACCAGTCATAAGTATCCCGCAAACGCAGCAATTTTTTTACCGTTGAACCAGTCGTATAAATCTCTTACTAACTCTTAAAACCGCAATCTCTCGCATCCGCAAACGCCCGCAACCGCAATCACTGCGTTGTAACCAATCAGACCCTAAGTATACAAAATAAATCTGTATTTTTACAAAAGTGTATATATATCTTCTCTTTGGAAGCTCTAAAATACAAGCAATTGTTGAGTACTTTGTTCTTGTTGTTGCAAAGAACATAGTAAATAACACTTAGCACTAGAGATTGACACTAGCAGAGCCGTTTCTGTGTCTTCATCCATTTGTCGTTGCACCAATTAGATTGGATACTTTAAGAAAACCGAGTCGAATCGCAAGGTGATTGGTCCACCGATTGGGAGGCCGAACTCTTCTTCAGATATCTTCAAGAGCTCTTGAAATACAGAGTTGCTCGGATATTTTAAGGGAAAAGCAAAGCGAATTTTATCTACCCTGTAAACAACAAAACATCCCTTCTCTACATCAGCTGAGTTAGTAGCAACACTTGATCTTTGAAATGAGATCCTTTTTTTCTGTGGAGGGCTGCTCTTTGTTGCCATTTCCTGGCCATCTTCATGAGCTTATTTGTGGTCATCATTATTTTAAAGGAAGGAATAGAGAAAAAAAGATTTGTAACTTCTCGTAGAGCTCTATGAATACAAGTTATGATTGATGAAGAATGAAATAGGCTTGTTGCATTATATATAAGGACAAACTACTAGAGTTTAGATGAACTTGCTTAGAGAAACCAAACCAAACATAAACACATGGTTATGTGTTTCTTTGTTAAAGGGTCTCAAGTTAGTAATCAACCAAACAAGTTGTGGATCAAAACATCTAGTGAGAAAACACAACCATGTGGGGTATGTATCTTGTATGAAAATATTGATTATAACAATTTTTTGATGCAAAGACATGTGAAATTAAATGAAAGATGTAGTAGACCTTGTAGGTCCTTGATATTCTATGAGAAGTTCAAACCTATAGAAAACTTAGAAGTTATGGTACGTTTCTTGGTTCTCTCAGTCTCAGATAGCCATCAAGGAATGTAGTTGTAGCGTCTTAAGAGATTTTTAAAATGAGTTTAAAACTGTACTTACATTCAAGTTTAACAGCACTCATCTATTTCCATTTTCTTGACAATGAATCTATCAAAAGCTAGGAAATATTCCTTTTTGGATATGGATGAATTGAATTTCAGAAAATAATTAAACTATGTTTTGGTAGATTTTGTGAAGATAAGTACTCAATATATGCTAACAACTCCGGATTAAGTACAGTTTTGCCAAGTTTATCTCTTATAGTACAATTATTGGGACGAAAAGATTGTTCAGATCCGTCTAACTCACGAGACAAGTATTGAAGGATCTATGGATAGCAGTCAAGATCCGACCTTTGATGATATTATTTCTCATCTCACTGGTTTGATGTCCGCCGGCATAGCTATCAGTTGGATACAGAGGTAACTCCTCCTCTGGCTTTCCACACCAACAGAGGAAGACCCTTCTTCAACAGAAACAGAGAAAGAGGTCGCGGTGGAAGAGATTTCTTCTCAACCAGAGGACGAGAGTTCCCACAACACATCTCATCATCTTCGTCATCAAACTCTTCTATGTCGTCTGATGGTGATTCAATAGTGTGTAAAATCTGTAGAAAAACTGGTCATATGGCCATGAAGTGTTGGCATCGATTCAACAACTCATATCAACTTGATGAAATGCACAATGCTCTGACTGCACTTTGCATATCAGGTATCACAAACGAAGTTGGACATGAATGGTTTCTTGACACTAGAGCGTCAGTTCACGTCACCAACTCACCGGCTCACCTACAGCAAGCCAATCCCTACCACAATTCAGACTTGGTCGTGGTGGAGAACAGCGAGTTTCTTCCGATAACACACACTAGATCTTCGAGCATTGCATCTTCCTCAGAAATTACCACTAAAAAATGTCCTCGTGTGTCCTAATATTGCTAAATCTTTGTTGTCTGTGTCAAAATTCACTAAAGACTATCTGTGTGGTTTTGATTTTGATTGTGACAATGTGAGTGTATATGATAAGGGAACAAAGAGGGTTCTTCACAACCAGACGTGCTGCTGCTAGTGATGAGGTATGGCATCAAAGGCTCGGCATCCCAACCCTCTTATCTTACAACACTTATTGTCATATAGAAGTATCTTGATCAATAATGCCACCAAGTCTCAGTGTAATGCGTGCAAGCTTGGCAAGAGTACAAGACTACATTTCACGGCGTCTTCTTATGTTGCTACACGGCCACTAGAACGAATCCACTGTGACTTATGGGGACCAGCACCAGTAGCTTCGATTCAAGGATTTCATTATTATGTAATTCTTGTAGACAATTTCTCTAGACACAGTTGGTTAAAGAAGAAGTCAGATTTCATGTATGTGTTTGTTGTCTTTCAAGAACTAGTTCATAATCAATATTGACTAAGATTGGATCATTTCAATGTGATGGTGGAGAAGAATTCATTATTACACAGTTTCTGTAACTTTTGGAAAACAGGGTCATTAAACAGCTAATCTCATGTCTTTATACCCCACAACAAAATGGGTTGGCAGAATAAAAACACAGACAAATCACTGAAGTCGGGTTGTCTCTTATGTTTCAGAGTTGTGTCCCTCACAAGTATTGGGTCAAAGCGGTTTTCACAACCAACTACTTGAGCAATCTACTTCCTCACAGTGCATTGAGCAAAGCGAAAAGTCCCTATGAGATTCTTCACAAAAATATCTCCACGTTCTGCAACTTTGAGAGATTATGCTGCAAACAAATTCGATCCACGTTCTCTTAGGTGTGTGTTTATGGGATACAATGAGAAATTCAAAAGATATAGATGTCTACTGGTTTCAACTGGAAAAGTCTACATAAGCAGGCTTGTGACATTTAATGAACAAAGTTTTCCCTTTTCAAAGGAGTACATATATCTTCATCCACATGCGCTCATGTCCTCCTATGGATTCCTCTAACTCAATGAATGAAGGGAGTAGTATGAGGAAGGCTCGTGGTTCAAGAGTCCGCCTCGAATCATCTCTGAAGAACAAAGTTCATCAAACTCAAACAGGTTCGATGATTTTGATCAATCTTCAGATTATACTGAGAGGAACGATTCACCTCTTCAAATGGTCTTGAGGTTACAGAAACCTGATCAACAAAGGGAAGTCAGTCAAGATAGCAGCTTAACTCCATCTTCAGTCACTACAATTACCTACCAAGCGAGAATTAACCTGAAAATGCAGTAAGAGTGATATAAGTAGCTCAGGCTCCAGTTCAACATGGAATGGTGACTAGATCAAAGTCTGGAATAGTCAAAATCCAATCCAAAATATGAACTTCTAACAGAGAACACAGTACTCAGAGAACCATAGTCAGTTAAAGAAGCACTTGCACATCCTAGTTAGAACGCATCCATGCATGAAGAATATGACAATTGAGTAGTAACTATAAGATGGTCTCTTGTTCCAAAAACTCAGGCAATGTACGTTTTGGGAAATAAATGGATACACATAATTAAGCTGGGATCTGATGGCACGGTCAAGAAGTTAAGATTAAGATTAGTGGCTCAAGGATGTGGACAGGAAGGTGTTGATTACTGGGAGACATATAGTCCAGTACCGAGGACTGCAACCATAAGACTGATACTTCACACAGCTACGTTCATGAAGTGAAACATAAAATAAATGGATGTAGCAAATGCATTTTTGCATGGTGACTTGACTGAGAAGGTATACATGAAGCAACCAGCAGGTTTTGTAGATCCGATGAAGCCAAATCATGCTTGTCTCCTGCACAGATCACTCTACGAACTAAAGCAGAGCCCACGAGTGTGGTTTGATAAATTTAGCTCGTATCAATTGGATTTTGTGTACATCTAGATGTATCTTATATCTCAGCGCACCAGTAAAAGCCCAGCATTCGTTGGGCCGGGTGAAATCGCTATCAAGGTTGACATCTGGCGGGGTGCGGGGGCCTGCGGCCCTCGTGGTATGGTATGCCTTTCCGGTTTAGGAAAATTTATTTTTTATAGTTAAGTATATATTCTTATAAAGAAAAGGAAATCAGATTTTGAGGCTACTGTAAATATGGGTCTAAGAGATTGTAAAGTTAATCATTCACACAATAATATATAAACCCTAAAACGGGTAGTTGCCTCAATCATTTTTCTCTCTTTGTTTCTTCTTCGAGTTTATTCGCGTTTGTTCACAACAATTGGTATCAGAGCTTTAGGTTACGAAACCCTAAAGGATGAGCAGAGGAAGTTCTTTGAAATTCAATGTCCTGAGGTTTGATGGAAAAGGAAACTTTGGTCTCTGGCAACGGCGAGTTAAAAATTTGCTTACGTAGCAAGGGATGAAGAAGGCTCTATTGGAGTTAAAACCGAAAGCCATAAGTCAGGATGATTGGAAAGAGATGAACGATCATTCAGTCTCAACGATTCGACTTTGTTTGTCGGATGACATAACACATCAGATGATGGATCCACAACTTGTAAAACACTGTGGGATAAGTTTAAAAAGATGTATATGTCTAAATTGTTATCTAGCAAACTGTACCTCAAACAGAAGTTGTTTGGTTTGAAGATGTCTAAGAGCGGAGATCTTGTTGCACACATCAACAACTTTAATCAAATCATCGAAGACCTGGTGCGTGTGGATGTGAAGATTGAGGATGAAGATCAAGCCATGATCCTGTTGTGTTCTCTGCCTCCTCAATATGAGACGTTGTTTACAGTTCTAACAGTCGATAAATTGCCTATAAAGTTGGAGACGGTTACTGATGTGCTACTCTCACATCATGAGAGAAGACAGAATACTGGGATGATTGACAACTCTCAAGGTGACGGATTGTATGTCAATCATGATAGAGGAAAGCAGCGGGGAAAGCAGCAGGATGATTCTAGCAGGAAGAGATCAAAGTCAAAATTTGGGAAGAAAGTGGTCTACTATTGGTGTGGCAAGCATGGCCACTATAGAAGAGACTGTCCCGAAAAAAGCCGAACTTGAAGGACGGATCGAGTTCTGCAAACGTAGTTCAGAAGAATGAAGACTCAGAAGGATCAACTGATTCAGACATGTCGGTTGTTACAACAGGAGATCACATGGATTCTTGGATATTGGATTCATGCGCTTCATTCCACATGACTCTCAACAAGGAGTGGTTTGAAACGTATAAGGCTGGAAACATGGGCTCTGTTCGACTTGCGGACGACAAGGTGTGTGGTGTTTTAGGCATTGGACAAGTTAAGTTTCGGATGTATGATGGAACTATCAGGACATTGACTGATGTCAGGCATGTTCCAATCATGAAAAAGAATCTAATATCTCTAGGTACACTTCATAAAAATGGGTTCAAGTACAAATCTGATGGTGGAGAAGTATTGAAGATATTATATGGAGCTATGATGGTGATGAAGGGTTAGATGACAGCCAGAAACGTGTATCGGCTGATGGGGAACGTGGTTGTAGGTGGAGCCTTAGCTGCAGTTTCTGAATCAGAGTGTACAACATTGTGGCAAATGCGTTTGGGTCACATTGGCGAGCACAGGATGAAAGAACTCCTGAGAAGAGGTCTTCT